TGTTTGTGTTTGTGTGTGTGTGTATATGTTTGCATCTGTGTGTGCACATGCGTGTGTACCTGTGCGTGTGTGTATAGGCTCACTTGTTGAGCGTGTTTGACAACGTCAAGACCGTGGACTTTCACGAGAAGGAATACGACCGGATCACGGCGATCAACTCGCGTGAACCGGAGACGATTCAGGTAGGTGCCAGCAGCAGTGAGAGATTGGAACACCGCTTCAATGCTTCTTATTCATGCGTGCATGCACATACACACACACACACACACACACACACACACACACACACACACACACACACACAAACACATCTCGGAAGAATGTGTATCATTGATCACAAGAATGTGTGAACTCGGTCCATGTGTACCATTGGCAACTGGGCCTAAACGTTAAATAAATTATACAACTTGTTGTGCTGGCCTGTGTCTTACATCACATACTGTATTGATGTGTTACATGACATGCTTAATACTAGTCAAAATACTAGTCATAATACTATTATTAGTACTAGTATTAATACTAGTACTACCAATACTAGTACAGTCTCCTATAGTAGGACAGGTCAGAACACCTTTGAACAAATATAAGTACTGTACATTTATTGGGGAAAATACGGTAATGAGACTTTGGGTTTAACGACACTTCGCGAATAAGGACACCTTTCTGATACCCCGGCGAGTGCCGTTAACCCTTTACCGGCAGCCCCATACTTGAATTCGACATGCATACTAAAGCCATGCCTGGTATGACAGGAAGCATCAGCCCACGGGGATTTCCCGTGGCCCTCACACAGCTTAGGTATGATCCTATCCGTAGCTGAAGAGATCTATGCGTGTCCCATTTGATTTCATTGAGAACTGAGCGATCGAAAATTTACAGAAATACACGCGCGCCGACAATGCCGTCTGCCTCCGTCAAAACGTCGTCAGGTGCATTTCCTCTTGCGCAGTGAATTCCTTTCGTCTTCAGAGGACTTCTCCGACGAGGACCTAGCAGACCTTAGCTCTGGGACCTACGACAGATAGATAAATACTTCGTTCCAGCCGCCGATGCAAGCAAATTTCAAATTGCGGAGCGGAGCGCACGCCAAGTAAATTCACACGCAAATATCGGGAGCTCCAGCCGCTGAAGACGATGTCGTCGTGATGTAACTGGAAGAATCTGATGGTGCTTATGGTGTGGAAGCCATGGAGAGTGATCCCCGTGTCGACAGTCTTCCAGAGACGGAATTTTAGGCCATCGACTTTCCACGTACCTGAGTGACGGCAGCGCTGCGCGACTTGCGCCGACCTTACGGAGCCATCGGACAGCGATTTTGGGGCGATGCTGCTCTCAATTGCGAGCGAGGCACGGCCACTGAAGTCTGTGATGGCTATGGCATTCGTTTCTGCTCTGATGTCGACTTGTTTTGGCAGTTTCATGTCAATGTCGGAATCTGACGATTTGCATTGTGTACAATTTCCGTGTTTAGACGTATAGGTGCCAATTTAGTAGCGTATGTGTGTGGTAGGTGAAAATAAATGTTTCCATGGTCAAGAAGTAGTACCAGACTTCCAAGAAAACATAACTTGCACATACAAAATGTGCCCTCGTTGTGAGGTATTGGCATCCTTCTCAATGTTATGGATTTCATATACAAAATGCACTTGCCGGTAAAGGGTTAAAAGCGAAGTTGACTGTATATACATACCTTCTCCTTAGAAAACCTACCACCTGTGCATTGCAGAATACTCGTAAACATTCCCCTGGATTTCATGACTGGAATAAGTCATCATCAGCAAGGCATCTGGCCTACCTAGCGCATATGTTGTAGATAGCTTTTCTCCAACTGCTCCCAGCCCCGTGCCATCTCCACACTTGTACAATGGGACGACAATAACTACATTTAGAAAGACTGTTTACTACAAGACGACTACGAAAACACAACTAGACATGACGAACTCAAGACGAAGACTGTTTTTCACACCACAGCAACACGCGCATGCACAAACACGACGTACACACGACGTACACAAAATAACGTACTACAACACATAATATTATATGAGATGAACCAGTTGATAAGCCTGGCATGGTATGCCATACCGGTAGCTCCCAACTGAACTTGTCGGTTTTTGACTTCCCTTTTTTGCACACAGCTTGAGAAGACGGTCATGGCGCAAGGTAACGTGGAGATATGGCTTGGCCAGCTGCTCGACATCTCTAAGGCCTCTGTGCACAGTGTGATCAGGCAGGCCTCGCATGCTATCAACGATCCCAGCTACGAGATGATGGAATTTCTTGAGAACTTCCCAGCACAGGTAATCCTCCATTGCATGTACAGTACTCATGCATGTACAGTACTCATGCATGGTCAGTACTCATGCATGGTGAGGTCATAGTCATATTGTGTCATGTCCAAAAACCTCTACACGTGCGTAATTGAAATATTAGACACCCTTAGCAAATAACGGTAACGCTATATTTTACGGTACTCGTACCTTGATCACCCAAATAGCGTTGAAGCTGCAGCGTATAAACGTTATGGGGGCTGATTTATCGTTGTGACCAACGGTACGTGTTTTGGCCAAATATTGCATAGTCCGTACGCATTTCACCTTGTATCGCGTATATGGTGACAAAAATGGTTGTACCGCGCGAAATCAAAGCTATTCTCGTGGCAACAGCGTACTAAAAATAGCGTGCATCTTGCTAAAGGTCGAACCCAAATCACGGTATTTTCCCCCTTACGATAACACCGTTACAACATAATGTTTTTTGCTAAGGGTGTCTATTGCCATGTTCTGGTAACTGCTAATATCTAGTGTGTGTGTATGTTTAGTAGACAAGAGGCTCTCCTTTGCTAACTTGTGTGGTTTATGATTACAGTGGAACCTGTGTAAGACGACTGCGCATGGGACCTTCAAAACGTGGTATCTGTTACCAGGTGGTCTCCTTATCCAGGGTCATTTGACTGGAAATAACATCCCTCGGTCCTGGTTTCAATGGTCTTCTAGGGCAGGTGGTCGCCTTATCTAAGTGGTCGCCTTGACAGGTTGTACTGGACATGGATCAGAGGTGCTAGCATCAATGCATCACCTCAACATCATACTATCCTGGCTTTTGATTGGCACCCGCCATGCATGAACAGCCAGGACTGGATCAACTAACCTGTGTTTCATGTTCTGTGTGGAATGTTTCGTTCACTACAGGTTGGCATTCTCGGCATCCAGTTTCTCTGGACTCGAGACGCTCAGTTTGCGCTCACGAATGCACGTGCTGACAAGAAGATCATGGCGGCAACGAACCAGGCGTTCTTGGAGATGTTGAACCGACTGATTGACAAGACACTGCAGAATCTGACCAAGATCCAGCGTGTGAAGTACGAGACCTTGATCACCATCCACGTTCATCAACGTGATATCTTCGATGACATTGTAAGTAGAGATAACTCTCGAATCACACTCCAAATTTCTACATTGTGATATGTATGAGAGAGACAGACCGAGACAGATGGAGGAAGATAAATAGTATTTGGGTGTTGATCAAAGTGTACTGTGCTAGAAGTGCTGAGTTGATCTAAATTGTTCTGCCAGAACATCTCATATTAGTAAAACTGTGAACGTTACCATTCGGCTGTTTCTTTTAAAATATATAAAACTCTCCTCCATGCGCTCTAAAGCCGACCATTGCTACCCTCGGTAGCCATTACTCACACCAATAACCACAAACAATGAAGGGGTCACGGGTCAAACATTTCCTTCTGACTGCTGTTTTGCCTATCAAAGGCTCTTCAGAGAAGGTGATACTGGATATTGATATAATTATTACACGGACTGCTTTTCATACTACAGCAACACGCGCATACACCAACATAACGTACACAAAATAACGTACTATATACGATATGGTAAGTCTATCGATATACGGTGCATACGGTATGATACGGTAGAAAATCCGTCTACTACAGTAAGCACCTGCTTTTATAAGCAACAGTACTGTACATATGTGCCATTTTCTGTGCTAACTCCCATGTCAGGAATACATCATGATAATAATTGATAATAATAATAATTATTATTATAAATCCGCTTCGGTCTTCATTGCGTTGGCCATGTATCTAATTATGTTCTTCTTTTCTTGCCTCAAACTCTCAATACCCTTGCTCTCTTTTGGGGTTCTTACCCCACGTCATGACAACGTGAAAGAAATACAGCCAACTCAATAATAATGACTCTGCGTTGCTCTGTGGATATGTGTCGTGCACTGCACAGGTGAAGATGCATGTGAAGACGCCGAGCGACTTTGAGTGGCTGAAGCAGACACGGTTCTACTTCAACGACGACACAGACAAGACACTGATCAGCATTACGGATGTCAACTTCGAGTACCAGAACGAGTTCTTGGGCTGCACGGATCGTCTGGTGATCACGCCGCTGACTGATCGCTGCTACATCACCCTAGCACAGGCGCTTGGCATGGCACTGGGTGGTGCCCCGGCCGGACCTGCTGGAACCGGTAAAACGGAGACGACCAAGGACATGGGCAAGGCACTGGGCAAGTACGTTGTCGTCTTCAACTGTTCCGATCAGATGGACTTCAGAGGACTGGGACGTATCTACAAAGGTAAGCTGATTACTTGCACTGCACATGTACCGTATTTCCCTGAATATAAGTCGCACCCTTTAACACTAAACTTCAGAGTCAACAAAGGGGATGCGACTTACAATCAAGCATGATTACTACTGAAGTGAATATATCGAAACGATATGACATAGACCTGGACATAAGAGTGTGACTTACAGTCGGGGAAATACGGTACCTTATTTGTATGTGGCATACATGTACTGTGCTGTTTCCTCAATCTGGGGACAAACTGTTTCGTATTTTGTGCACTCGTCAGCGTAGCATAGAGAAAGTGAGGCTGAACTAACTTCATAACAATGAATAATAATATTTCCAAAGCCAAACTTGTACTGTGTTCTTTATATGGTGCTCCTTATAGTCAGTAGAGTTGGTACTACACAATTTGCCTGATGTTTGTTTGGTTTTGGACAATCGTGTATGCATAATGTGCATGCCTGCCTGTGCTTGAGTGTCCGTAGATGTGAGGAGGAAAATACAAGGTGCAAGGCATAGCAATGTTCTTTCCTCGGTGTGCTGGCATCATCTTGCCATTCCGACACAGCTCTTAGCAACACTGTTTTATCTTCTCTTGTCCTGTACAGGTCTAGCTCAGTCGGGCAGCTGGGGCTGTTTTGATGAGTTCAACCGCATTGAGCTGCCGGTGTTGTCCGTGGCCGCACAGCAGATTGCAATTGTGTTGCAGTGCAAGAAGGAGAGGAAGTCCCACTTCATCTTTACCGACGGCGACGTGGTGTCGTTGAGTCCGGAGTTTGGCCTCTTCTTGACAATGGTAGGTGCTGCACTGGTTTGCTGCTTCAAAGGCTGGGAGCAGTAGAGTTTGTCGACATGGTGTTCTCTTGCATCCACTACAATGCCTTGAACTGTATCATCGGAATGATGCCATTGTCTCTTTCCAAGATATATGCCTATGACATGGATCGTCACGAAGAAACTCTTTGTGATGATGTCATGGCATATGCAGTATATGCCAATATAATAATTATGGAAAGTGATATCTCTTCTCAACAAGTGTAGATTTTGTCTCATTCATGCAATGGACACATGTGACCTTCCAGTATTGGTCAGTTCCGGTGTGCTGACATTTGTGATTTGGGATAATCAACTCATCATTCATGCCTGTGCCTCTGTGTTGCCCGCCCATGTCTCTGTGATGGTATTGTGCAGAACCCTGGCTACGCCGGTCGACAGGAGCTGCCAGAAAACCTCAAGATCAACTTCAGAACCGTTGCCATGATGGTGCCCGATCGTCAGGTAAATGAGCAGCAAGTAGATCATCATCATGTCATCATGATGTTATCATGATGTCACAATGATGTCGTGCACAAGGTCAATGTTATGATGTTTGCTGACTAGATCAGGTAGACGTGAGGCATTGATGCTTTACTGGCTGTAGCAGTAGACATAAAGGCTGTGTGTGACGGGCCGTGGCACCCGGTGCGGCCCGTCCGGCCATTGCTGGACCATAAAATTATTTCTTAACTGTTGACCCACCCGATTCGAGCAAATTGGGTTTTCGTCAATAATTTCCAATGGAGAATCTCATTTTGGCCGGATCACCTGATAACGGTGATGCTGCCATACGGCCCTGCTGCAGATGCCTGTTGCAGATGCCTGTTGCAGATGCCTGTTGCAGATGCCTGTTGCAGATGCCTGTTGCACATGCCTGTTGCACATGCCTGTTGCAGATACCTGTTGCAGATGCCTATTGCACACATTACAGAGTCTAATCAACACCAGGCCGACAATCTCTTACTTCTTAGTGACACAACTACCTCAGTGATCAGGATGTAGAGAATGGTCCAGGTCAAATCTCTTGTCAAAGTGAATTCACTGTGACTGCTTTGCTCTCGGTTTCCATGTGTTCCCAGATTATCATCCGTGTCAAACTTGCCAGTGCTGGTTTCCTGGAGAACATCAACCTGTCGAGAAAGTTCTACACACTCTACAAGCTGTGCGAAGAGCAGCTCTCCAAGCAAGTGCACTACGACTTTGGACTGCGCAACATCCTGTCCGTGCTGCGAACGCTGGGAACGGTGAAGCGCAAGAACCCTACGGACAGCGAGAGCACAACAGTGATGAGAGTCTTGCGTGACATGAACCTATCCAAACTGGTAAGGGATGAATAGAACCTATCCAAACTGGTAAGGGATGAATAGAACCTATCTAAACTGGTAAGGGATGAACCTATCCAAACTGGTAAGGGATGAATAGAACCTATCCAAACTGGTAAGGGTTGAATAGAACCTATCCAAACTGGTAAGGGATGAACCTATCCAAACTGGTAAGGGATGAATAGAATCCATGGAATAAGTACGAAATAGTGGTTGCGACTTCGGCGATGATTTGTGTGAAAAGGGTTTGCTCCCCACACTGGAGCTCACACTATTCCGTCAAGTATCAATTCAAGTTTGAAGAAGGGCTGAGGCTTCCTAAGTCATACTAGGTGACATAATTCGCATCTTTTTTTTGGCGCTACACTCTGCGTATATACTGCTCTTGTGTGGCTTCCACGGTATTCATTGTTATTACCTGACGATGGCCAAGTGCCGAAACGTTGTAAAAATAACGGAACTGGTTCGGATGTGATATGCAGCGCTATGGGAATGGGTGTGTCCACCCGAATTCTTTTATCAATTCAAGTCACTGGAATAAGAACTTGGAACATCCTGAAAAGCTAGTACATGTACTTCCAACTTCATGCATGCACACTGCTTTTACAGTTTCTTGTGCCAATCCTCAGACCATGGCTGCTTTAGGCAGAATCGTAATTATTGCCTACAGAATCAGATGGATGCAATGACTGTATATTGTGTGTTGCAACCACTGAGGCGTGTCGCTATGGCGTGTGCTGCGTACTGTGTGCTGCCTATAGGTGGACGAGGATGAACCGTTGTTCTTGAGCTTGATCAACGATCTGTTCCCTGGCATTGTCTTGGACAAGGCTGGCTACCCGGACCTGGAAGGCGCTATCGCAGAGAATGTCGAGAAAGCGGGTCTGGTCAACCATCCGCCGTGGGTTCTCAAGCTCATTCAGGTGAGATTCCTAGAGCGTGATTATCTCTGTACGCATAGTTCCATTGCATGTGTACAGAACAGTCACAAGACTACGGTCATCAGTAACAACCATCGACAAGAATATGAAATTTTGTTTGGTGACCCCGTTTATGGGTTTTTATGTCTTTATTCTTGACATCTCTAGCTGTTTGAAACCCAGCGTGTACGCCATGGCATGATGGCCCTGGGTCCCAGCGGCGCAGGCAAAACAAAGTGCATTCACATGTTGATGAAGGCCATGACCGACTGTGGAGAGCCACATCGTGAGATGAGAATGAATCCAAAGGCCATCACGGCGCCGCAGATGTTCGGACGTCTCGACGTCGCCACCAACGATTGGACTGACGGCATCTTCTCAACGCTGTGGAGGCGAACACACAAAGCCAAGAAAGGTTAGAATCTGTCACGTACATGTATATCTAGATTGCTTGCAATGGTACTGCAACTAAACTAAAATACCATATCACCCATGACAACACATCATCATGACAGCACACCATCATCCGTAATGAATGTAGCCTCCCTGCAGGAGGGGAAAGCGTAGTATCTCTCTAATATGTCGATGTTCAGCTGGTGCTGTTGATGACTTTTCTTACATCGTTATACAACGCATCTATTTACTCTGCAGGTGAACATATCTGGCTGGTGTTGGATGGACCGGTGGATGCTATCTGGATTGAAAACTTGAACAGTGTACTGGACGACAACAAGACATTGACACTGGCGAATGGTGACCGTATTCCAATGGCACCCTGGTGTAAGATTGTGTTTGAACCGCACAACATCGACAACGCCTCGCCGGCCACTGTGTCACGAAACGGCATGGTCTTCATGAGCTCGTCGGCTTTGGACTGGAGGCCGATCCTTGATGTAAGGATGTCTGGCTGGGGCCAATTGCAATTTCTATTCTATATACTGTCGTGACATGGAAATCCGGTCGAATGATGCATGGCACGCGTGCGCCCTCAGTGCATGCATAACTTTGCATGCAGTGCACGTGTTGTTCGTATGCATACTCGCGCCTGTATGACCACCGCCCTGGGCTGCTTGCCCTCCGACCGGATTTCCATGTCCACGACAGCACGATAGTGTGTTTCCTACATCGAACCTTACAGAAGTCAAATTCAAAGCATTGAATGTAAATCAATTCTAGATCGTAATGATCTTTACTTGCATAGCTGCCTTGTGTAGCTTGTGACTAGGTTGCTGTGCGTTTCCACACCATTCTACACCCCGTAGACACTGACTCACTATGCAGATACGTGCCGTAGAAAGATGGCTGCCGCTCTAGGTTTTGAGTATTTTCCTTGCCAACAAGTAACAGAGGTGGTGTCCACCTGTGCAAGTAACTGAGGTGTTGTTGTCCTTCTATTCTTGTCGGTCGCCAGGGATGGCTGATGACGCGCCAGTCGTCGGAGGCGGAGGTCATTCGTGAACTATTCCATGCCAGCTTCCAGGAGGTCTATAACTACAGCTCCACCATGCTCTTCCCCAAGATGGAAATTCTGGAGTGCAATTACATCTCCCAGGTACTGCACTTTTGCTTGCATGTGTTGTACAGGTGTGACTTTCTTCTCAGTATGCATATGCCGTGATGTATGGGGCAAGTAGATATTATTATTACTGTAAGGCACAGTGCATCTGCACGGAAATGGACTTACTGATAATATCTTGACTTGTTGTTGCTGCTGCTGCATGACATACACACAAATGTACCACAGTACAGTACTGTGGGTCGCCGAAGAACTGGGGGGTCAGTCTCCTAGCCTAGACCGTTCTTGTTTTCATGTATTACAGTCTATGGGCAGTTGAGTCACCGTGTATACATTGGTATGCTGTGCTTGATAAAATTCTAGCCTGGTCGTTACTCAGCGCTCTGTTCTTCAGCGCTCTGTTCTTCAGCGCTCTGTTCTTCGGCGCTCTGTTCTTCGGCGCTCTGTTCTTCAGCGCTCTGTTCTTCTGCGCTCTGTTCCTCAGCGCTCTGTTCTTCGGCGCTCTGTTCTTCGGCGCTCTGTTCTTCAGCGCTCTGTTCTTCGGCGCTCTGTTCTTCAGCGTTCTGTTCTTCGGCGCTCTGTTCTTCGGCGCTACCCGACACTACTGTAGGAGTAGGAATGTGTGGTGTTAGGTTTTCCTGCGGCAGTACACGCCGACACTTTACTTTTTGTTTGCTGCCTATACACAACACTGCCTTATACAATTCACCCCCTTGCTCCCTGCGCCTTTGTCACTGTAGGCTGTCAAGATGTTGGAAGGCAGCTTGCCGAAGAAAGAGAAGGAAGACATGTCCATGCCCGACAAAGCAGTGCTGGAGCGCTACTACATCTTCGGTGTGATGTGGAGTATTGGCGCTCTGCTTGAGCTGGGTGACCGCTCCAAGATGGAGACATTCCTGAAGGAGAAGACGAAGCTGAACTTGCCAAAAATTGAGCCCGGTTCCGGGAACACCATCTTTGAGTTTGTTGTGAACAATGAAACTGGTAAGTGACTTGATACAATGGACTGTGATGAGGTGGGCAGAGCACGATCTTGCCGCTTGAACGAGCCATTTGCTCGCCCAAGCAGTGCTTGTGGTATGTAAGGTCCAAGTAGTGGAAATGCTGGAACCAGGCGTACGCACCCATTTAAGGATAGTGCATGCCTGTGTGCTTGTGTATGCACTTATGTAACACTTTGGGGGCTGGTTAAAGTCCATTTCAGTCACCCGTGACTTTGGATAATTTTTTGTTCTCAGTCCCCGCCAACTCCCAGTTCCCCGGTCATGGAATGCTGGTTCATTAGTATGTGTTTCTGTTCTCTGCCATCCACACACATCGACACACACACACGCACACGCACACACACACGCACACACACACACACACACACACACACACACACACACACACACACAAACACACATAGGCGAGTGGCAGCATTGGATGGACAGAGTGCCCGAGTATAACTATCCGCATGATGAAGTACCCGAGTACTCCTCTATCTTGGTACCCAACGTTGACAATGTGCGAACGGATTACATCATCCAGTGCATATCCAAACAAGACTTGGTAAGCATAGCGCTGCGTTACGGTCGACCATTGAGTGACTTCAGTGGCTTGAACAGTTGAATTTCGGTGTGTGGTTCTTGTCATATGACCCATGCGTTATAAATCACATGACATGCCAGTCTAAGATGCACTGTGCGGCCTGTTCATGAGTTATGCCAGTGCTTGAATGTAATCTAATCTGTTCTCCGTGTTGAGTATCCTGTGACTGCCCAGCTGACCCTGGGTACCACATGCTTGTGTGCATATGTCATTTTGTGTCTTATTGTATGTGTGTGTGTGTGCACATGCATGTGCGCGTGTGTGTGCGTGTGTGTGTGTGTGTGTGTGTGTGTGTGTGCTTGTACGTGTGGGTATGTATGTTTGTAGGGAGTGCTGTTGATCGGTGAGCAAGGTACGGCTAAGACAGTCATCATCAAGGGCTTCATGGGAAAGTCGAACCCTGAAGAGCATCTCAGCAAGAGCTTCAACTTCTCCTCAGCCTCCACACCCAACATGTTCCAGGTAAGATTAGTGTTCAGGCACACACAACACCCATCCCTGTAGACTGTAGGGATTGAATTGGCTGTGTACATGTGAACAGGCACAAAATGACAAGATGCTCCAGTTCCTTACCCTGTCCCCAACTCACTAGCTGTGCACATCAGGTAAAACACTGTTTTACCATGCATTTCTGTTCAGCTAGCTCGGAGCTAGAGCAAGACTGGGTGCGAGTACATGTACCGTACTATCCGTATTACTAGTATAAACCACACTGACGTACAAGTCGCACCCAGATGTTGTGTCACGGAATACAGACATCTACCCTGTATTATTATCAATATTCATTTGACCACCGTAGTAGTATAAGCCGCCGCACTGACTGACATATTTGGTAAAGGGTTAAGAGTGTCTAAAGTTCGGCTTATACTCCGAAAAACATGGTACTCATAGTTTGTGTCATTTTACTTTGGCATGCCCAGCAGACCCAGAGGTATTGTACATGGTTGACATGGATGAGCGACCACTGATGATGTGTCGAGAATGGATTACTACGAGTGTGCAGTACATACTTCGTTTGTTCTAGCGTACGTTCTTGTCTGAGGTTATGAGTACTGTTTCTCCCGTACTTAAACAGTGTTTGTGTGTGTCCATGTGTGTGTGTGTGCATGTGTGCGTGTATATGTGCACATGTGTGTCCATGTGAGCCTGTATGTGCATGTGTGTGTATGTGTGTCCATGTGTGCCTGTATGCCTGTGTGTGTGTGTGTGTGCCCGTGGGTCTGTGTGTATGTGTGCCCGTGGGTCTGTGTGTATGTGTGCATGTCTATATTATGTGTGTGTCTGTGTGTCTGTTTGGTGTATTCAGAGAACCATTGAGAGCTACGTTGACAAGAGGGTGGGCAGTACATATGGCCCACCGGCTGGAAAGAAGATGACCGTATTCGTTGACGATATCAACATGCCCATCATCAATGAATGGGGAGATCAGGTACGCAAACCATTCATACCGGGCACCCATACAGAACTCTTAGAATGTAATGACAAATTCAATGGTCCCTACTGGGATACGCCAAACCTATAGCATAGGCTTGTGTTGGAGTACCACAAGTGTATTGCAACGGTTCCTGTTTGGAGTTCTTGTGGTGACAGCTGGTGTTGTAACTGATTTCTTTTTAACCTGCTCCCAGCCCCGTGCCATCTCCACAATCAGACTATGGACGACAAGATAACTACATTTGAAAGACATATATTTGTGATAAGACGACGGAAACATAACTAGACATGGCGAACTCAACATGAAGACTGCTTTTCACACCACAGCAACACGCGCATGCACCAACACCACATACACACGACGTACACAAAATAATGTACATGTACTACAACACTAGTTCCTCTCAGACTTTCTTTCTTTGTACAACTCTTTGATGAATTATTTCCAAACAGTAACATTACTTTTAGTTCATGTCGTTGCCGTTTTGCCTCTATCACCTTGATAACGGAGCAGTGAAAGTATGTTACAATTTGGAATCCTCAACAGCTCAAAGCTGATCGATTTGGACAGTGTAGCAGCAGGCGCGTCGCACCGACTTTGGAGGTGGGGCGGCCATAGAACTTTTAGAAGGGGGTGCACGGGTCGTCCCCGGGAAAAATTTCAACAATTGAAGCCAATTGCAAGCATTTCCGGGCATTTGGTGCCATTTCAGTGTACGGTAACTACAATGAAAGACTTTTTCATTCTGCAAAAAACCAAGAAGATGCTACGATCGGGGAGTACAGGTTCCTGCACGAGTACGAGGGAAGTACCGCGGAATCCAGCCCGCGCCGCGATAGCGGCAAGGGCTGGATGAACAGCGGTACTGGCCGAGTATGAGTGACTGGAACGTGTTTCCCATGTGCACCCAAGCCAAATAAAGAGATACATGACAGACACACCTGCATTGTGTTTGGTGATTGTTTTCTGCATTCTGGTACAGTTTTTTGTAGTAGTCCATAGTGCTTTTTTTCTCGTGGTGCCATTGACATGGTCGACAGGGCGTCGGGCAGGGCATTCTGGCTGTTCTGTTCCTACGGATTTTTGCCACGTCTTGATCGGAAACGTCGGCGAATTGCGCGGGTCCTGCAGGTTGCTGAGCATTGTGCGCTTTGGTTGAGGCTCATCCGGCTTGTCGTCAACTTTTCGGAGGAGCTCATTCACATCGCCGATATCTTTCAACAAAGGGGCTTCTTTTCTCCCAGTTCCAGATCAAATGTTGGGGCGCCATGATGACAGTTGTGGTTGCAAACAGTCGCTCTTCTGCTTTAGACTTTTGTAGTTATTTTATTAGTAACCAATGAAAGACCATGAAGTAGAGTCAGTCCAGTGGCTACTGCCCGACGGGCAATGGAATCCGTTCCTGCCCGTCGTCACTTGACGACGGGCAGTGGATCTAGTTCCATCACCTTGACTCGAGCAGGCAGGACCGCGCTTTCCAGCCCGCACTGTTTGATCTGTCATTGGTCACTCCAAGGCGACAATCACGTGACATACGGGAACAAACCGATTACCCTCCCTCGGGAAAAAAATTCAAAAATTGAAGCCAATTGCAAGCATTCCCAGGCATTTGGTGCCATTTCAGTGTACATGGACTTTTGATTCTGCAACAAACCATGATCGGGGACAAGGATTTGCCACGTTTGCGCTGAGATCCTCGCGCTTTGTTGTAGTGTGCTCAAAAAAAAAAAAAAACGGCCGAAAAAGTGGGCGGCCATGGCCGCCCCGGCCGGTGCGGTTCCGACGCCCTTGAGCAGTCACTCTGTGGCTACTTTCTATTCATTGGTCCTCAAAGACTTTACAAATACAGTCAAATAGAGATGCTATGTGAATGACGTCATGTGGTGTCGCTCTACACAGAGCACCTAACACGATGATGTGATGATGATGTAATGATGATGTTATCCCATGACCTCCATAATCTAGGCATCCATGTGCACAAGGTCTGACTAAACTGTTACTGGTGTTTATCTGCACTTCCTGGTGTTTAGATTACCAATGAAATTGTGCGACAGACTATCGAGATGCAGGGCTTCTACAGCTTGGAGAAGCCTGGTGATTTCACCAGTATTGTCGACATTCAGTTCCTGGCTGCCATGATTCACCCCGGCGGAGGTCGCAACGACATTCCCAGTCGTCTGAAACGACAGTTTTCCGTCATCAACTGTACTCTGCCATCCGATGCCTCCATCGACAAGATCTTTGGTACGGAATGAGAGTAGTTGTGCATGAGGTTGAGTTGTGTTCTGGTGTGCGAGAACTGCAGGGAATTGTATGACCATATGGCGTCCTGCCCTGTGATCAGTCAGCATACCTGATAACCATCCCAATTTGGTCGGGACCGTCCTGATATCGAATACTCACCCAAAAGTGCATTCGTCGCATGCCTCACAGACACATGTGTATACATTATTATTACCTAGGTATGTCATTGTCCAGATCTCAGGTTTGCAAAGGTTGCCAGGTATGGGTCAAGTACCGTATTTTCCCGTTTATGAGATTAGTCGACCCCGGTTATAAGTCAAAGCCCCATACATAGGACCTCAATTTCCCGGATTGATGGAAGTTAAACCCCGACTATAAGTCGACTACACTTCTTTTGGTTCCGTTTTCAGGTCGCTGAAAGGTCGACATAAATATATTCGGGAAAATACAGTAATTAGTCATGTGATCATTCAAAGTGATCAGTCATGTGATCATTCAAAGTGATCATTCAAGTGATCATTCAAGTGATCAGATACAGCATTCTTTAATGTGGTAGCTGCATTCTGCTAGTAAACAGACATGTCATTGCCACCACCCAAAAAGAATGATGCGGGACAGGTCCTCAGTGCTTGAATAGGTGTTCTACTATCGGCCGGTGTGTAGTGTTTGCTTATTGAGGATGTAGCTCCCTGTTTTACGAGCGCTTGTAATTTGGCTATTTTCAAGACGATCATTTGTGGCGTCAAGGGATGATGTTCTCCAGCGTGTATGAGTGCTATAACGTTACGAGCGTATCACACTTACAATAAGTGCTTTCAATTGCGTTGCTCTGAGCAGGTTCTATCTCGGAAGGGTACTTCTGCAAGGAGCGTGGCTTCAAGGCGGATGTTGTGGACTTGGCACACCGACTCGTTCAGACAACACGTCAATTGTGGCAGGCAACTAAGGTGGGTTGTGTTCACTTCTGGTCATGAACACGGCCACCAAAACACACATATGCTCACATACACACACACAGTATGCTCACACCATGTACCATGTATATGTCCGTTGCAAGAGAAGCACGCAAATCTGCAAATGTATTGGACACACACACACACACACACACACACACACACACACACGTCCGACCCAACCTCCCCCCCCCCCCCCCCACACACACACATACGCTCTCTTGATATTTTGGCCTTCAGATATTATACTGTCAGAAAGAAGGACCACTGACTCTTTATCACACCAGACATACATATCAAAGTCGCCTGTCAAGACAATTATAGCTAGGCATTGTTTTTACTCTTTTGTATGGACATACATGTGCCTTCAGGTGAAGATGTTGCCAACGCCAGCCAAGTTCCACTACATCTTCAACTTGCGTGATCTCTCCCGCATCTGGGAGGGAATACTCACCATTGACAGCGACATCCTTAAGGAACGGGAGTTGCTCATGTCGCTGTGGAAACACGAATGCCAGCGCGTCATCTCGGACCGCTTTACGAACCCACAGGATAAGGAATGGTTTAACAAGGCCATCACACGCGTCGCCACCGAAGATCTCGACAATGAGATCGCTAGTCTAATCCCGGAAGAGCCGTACTTCGTGGATTTCTTGCAAGACCCACCGGAGGCCACGGGTGAAGAGCCGGAAGACCAGGAGTTGGAAGCTCCAAAGATTTACGAGCCCGTAAGCTATTGCTATGGTATATGCGTTTCAAGAGTACATAACCCCCAAGAGTGTGCAACTCTATCTATGTGGTCTGCGACAGCAGAACTTCACATCACTTGCCGAACCAGTACACATTATTTGCAAATGCAGGGCTTGTACACAACCCTGCTCTCGGTTGAACTCTCTCGTGGCCACTTTGCACTGTTTGTCAGGGTAACCTTTTGAACTGCATCACGTGATGTGAAGTTCTGCCGTTGCAGCACTGTCTAGAGGCTGTGCAAGCAGTTGCACACTCTTGGGGGTTAAGTGCTCTTGATTTTATGTATTACAGTAGAACTCTGATCAGATGCAACACCCCCACCCCCTTCCCCCCTCCCCCCCCCCCCCCCCCCATTCACCCCACCCCACCCCCGATGGGCAGCAGAAAAGTGTACCTATATCCCAGGTACTTGGTATCCTGACTTACTTTAGTGTTTTATGACTACAGTCAACTTCTCTTATAACGACACTCGGCGGGGCATCAAAAAGGTGTCCGTATTCGCGAAGTGTCGTTATACCTGAAGTCTCATTATATGTATTACACTGGGATGGGACTTTGCTCTGGGCAAGGAAGTTCTGTCGTTATTCGCGAATTGTCGTTATATCCGCAGTCGTTATTAGCGAAGTTGACTGTACACCCTTGCTCTGGACAATGGCTGTACTAAGCATGTGTGCATCTCATCAGAGTACTGTACGGGGAGAACATTTCATCGGTCAATAATTATTTCGTCCAACTCCAAAGCAAGGGAGTTCGTCCGGTTGTAAATTTAGCCCATGGTCCATGGATCATAAGAGTGTATTGAAAAGCTGGAAAAATCGACATTCGCCCAGCATTTAATTTAGTCCAAAAAGCTCTTTGGGCGAAAAAGACGAATTTAAATTCCAGACAAAATATGCTAAGTGAGTTCCACTGCTCGTAAATGCTACATGCTACTCACCATATAACATATTTGGTAGTTGTATTTGCATTTGTGTTTCATGGCAACCTATTATTTTTCGATCACTACCAAACTGTAGTGGAACATTTGCAAAACCAGAATTATCCCTCTAAATTCTACGGTGGCTCAAACAATGGTATTTTTGTGAGCAGAGAGATGTTCACCAAGTCTTTGACAATTATACATGGTCAATGCACTACTGCATGTGCCAACAAAAAACTCTGCTTTGTTTCCGTCTCATGTACTGGCATGTAGATTCCACCGTACGATGAACTGGAGGAACGCTTGACGATGTTCATGACCCAGTACAACGAGACGATCCGAGGCGCTGGAATGGACTTGGTCTTCTTCAAGGACGCCATGGTGCACTTGATCAAGGTTAGATGGCGGTGATGCCAATGGTCTTGGTGGACTCATCTGTTGGCTTAGCTTCTGATTCTGGTAGACAGACCTGGATTCTGAATTTTGGGGACTCATTTGTAGGTCATCTGATACTGGTGGACTCATCTGGAGCTCATCTGATACTGGTAGAGCCATGTGCATGGATTCCTCTGCGAGCTTTTAAATCTGTTGCAGTGTCTGTTTCTAATTATTCTGATGGCTTTGAGTACATAAGGTAGCACGGTACTCGGAGGCATTGTAAAGTTTATGCTGATTGTCGTGGGAATCACTCATTTTGTCGTCAGCTTGATGTTAACTGTGTATGTGTGTTAATGTTTGTATATTTATGTGGATGTGAGAATGTGGATGTCTGTATGTGGTTGTGTTTATTTGCTTTTGTGTATGTGCACCCGTGTGGATGTGTCTGTGTGGATGTGTGTCTGTGTGCACCCGTGTGTCTGTGTGGATGTGCGGATGTGTCTGCATTCTTGTCATGGTAGATCTCCCGTGTGATTCGTACCAGCAAGGGACACAGTTTGCTGGTCGGTGTCGGTGGCTCTGGAAAGCAGAGCTTGACGCGACTGGCGTCATTCATTGCGAACTACAAGATCTTCCAAATAACACTGACAAGGTATGCACGTAGTAGATAAATAACTCTGACAAAGTTTACCAACATGTCGTTTATGCATAACACTGACACACATTGATATGTAGTATGTCCAGGCTTAGAAATTTGTTCTCACATCTTTCCTTTTTCCAAGAAGTAATAGTACTCACTGTGTAGGAGCGGGTGCTAATAAGACCTGTTTGTGTCCGGGTGTTTGTGCTTGCCCGATAGGTCCTACAACATCAGTAACCTGCAGGATGATCTCAAAGTTCTGTACCGCACTGCCGGACATCAGGGAAAGGGTATCACGTTCATCTTTACAGATCAAGAAATCAAGGACGAGGCTTTCCTGGAGTATTTGAACAACGTGCTGGCGTCCGGAGAGGTATGTCTATCAAATCAGGGGCGTAGCTGGTCCCCCTTTCGGGGGGGGGGGGTACACAGCCGCATATGTGTAGGATGGCTGTGGCATAGGTCGACATTTAGAGGGGGGGGGGGGGTGCACGTGCCCCCGTGCTCTATGCAGGCTTCGCGCCTGCAAGTGATGCTCTGTGTACGAGGCGATGTGGATGGTCTGGCAGTGAAGTTTAAATGCCGATACAGTTATGCATGTGGCTACCAACCACTATGTCAGCCCCATTACCACCAGGTATTGGTGTTTTTATCTCTCTCTATTTCCCTTCCATCTCTGCCTCTCTCCCCCCGTCTCTGCCTCTCTCTCTCTCTCTCTCTCTCTCTCTCTCTCTCTCTCTCTCTCTCTCTCTCTCTCTCTCTCTCTCTCTCTCTCTCTCTCTCTCTCTCCCATCTCTGCTTCTCACTCTCCTCCTCTCCTTCATTTGATATCACCACTGGTGTTCAATTGCAGGTAGCTAACCTATTTGCCCGTGACGAGCAGGATGAGATCTTGAATGAACTGATTTCGATCATGAAAAAGGAGTTTCCCCGACGTCCGCCCACTCTCGAGAATCTCTACGATTATTTCCTGTACCGCTGTCGCCAGAACCTGCACGTCGTCCTCTGTTTCTCACCGGTGAGTCATGCAAGTTGTCCTTTGCTTGCTGTGTTTCTTTGCCCGGGATTCTTTTCAGTTTTCCCGCACACACCATGCTATTCTCCTGAGTGGTGTGCTAGGCAGTGGTGGGCTCTTATGCTTATGAAATTTGTGAATGCATATCTGTGAAAAGATAATGTGCCCCTTTCTGAATACAATGAATTCTGATAGGTCATACCCGATTAGGCAGCTGGAAAGTGTATTCTGAGTATTCTGACATACTTCTTATCCCGACCGATAACTAAGTTTCTTCAGCAAGGAACTATACAACCATGCTCTCAACACTGTACGTACTGAGCAGAATAATTATGTCTTATCCGAGCACTAGTATCCTGTGCTACGTGAATTCCACTGTAGTATCCATGTTCGTTTCCCCTCTCCCTATCTCCACCTCTCCCCCCCCCCCCCCTCTCTCCCTTTCATTCTATATGCTCATTCAGGTGGGTGAGAAGTTCCGTAACCGCGCTCTCAAGTTCCCAGCGTTGATTTCCGGCTGTACCATGGACTGGTTCAGTCGCTGGCCCAAAGAAGCCCTGCAGGCGGTGGCCAGGCATTTCCTGGCCTCCTACGACATCGTGTGCACGCCCGAAGTCAAGAAGGAAGTCGTGTTTGCCATGGGTGTCTTCCAGGATCGGGTGGCTGAGGCCTGTGTGGACTACTTTCACAGGTAACATTACCGCCACTGTGCATGGATTCACACAGCCCTTCATAGCCTGGCATGTCCTGGATTTATTCAGTCAGCTATGACAAAGACCTGTTCCTATGGTGACCAATAGAACATGGCGACCGGGAAAGCATTGGTGTTGTTGTTTGCAGTGCACCCCCCCCCCCCCCCCCCCCCAGCTCTCGGAGTTCTAATGCTTAGTCACACAGTACTTTGCACGTAGCCAGGTGATGGTGATGGTGTTCCTGCACATGCGCTACCCTGAGTCAGATTGACTTTCATGCAAACTATTATCTCATTTTAGCTAGGTACATGACAGCTGCAGTGACCTTTATACAGTCCCATACCAGTTTGATGTTACTGGAAACACGTCACACGATCACGAGATTATAAAGTCACATGACCAAGAGATCATGAAGTCACGTGACCGAGATCATGTGACCATTGAGCAATATCAACACGTGATTGTCGACAAATGTTTTCCGTCTGGCTGTAGATACCGTCGAACGGCTCACGTCACGCCAAAGTCCTATCTCTCTTTCATCAACGGCTACAAGACCATCTACTCTCAGAAGCACAACGATATCGGCATGCTGGCCAAGCGCATGAAAACAGGTCTGGACAAGCTGATCGAGGCCAGCGAGAGCGTGGCACAGCTCTCCAAGGAACTGGCTGTCAAGGAGAAGGACCTAGCCGTTGCCTCAGTTAAGGCAGAGAAGGTGAGAAATCATCGGACAGCAGATTCTCAAATTGTATTTCCTGGGGATCACACATAGGATTTGCCCCCCCCCCCCCCCACCCCTCTCTCTTTTCAGATGTACTTGGTCCGACTTATTAAAATGTGCGTTTCGCTTCGAACATCAACCAAAAATATTCAAATAATCTCAGGACGGAATAAACCTTCCAGCTATCTAACACTATCATTCAGTTGTCAATTTGTGATGTTGAAGAAGAAATGGCTCCAACTCCAAAGAAGGCAGCGGCTCAGGATCCTAGTCGACTCGAGCATTTTGCGTCCAAATTTTGTCGTCAGAGGACTCCTGTTGCTTCTCGCGCAACACAGAGAAGGCCTGGTGCTGAAATCAACACCCCGCTGCGATGGGGGATTGTCACGGAGTACCAGAACCTCCTGGGCGATCGTTCTCGAGTGCCTCCTGGCGGATTGAAATCGCTGCAATCGCTGTTTCCTTGGCAGAATTTCAACAAACGCGTCATCCAGAAATTCGTGCTGAAAACACCAGCATCGCTCCGTCCAGTTTGCTCATCTCTCTCGCAGTCGTTCACGGTGTGGCGGCCGACGAATCAAGATCACAGAAGAGATCGTCGAGAAGTTGATCGAAATAAATAACCGGCCTTGAGGTCGACTTTCAGGCGACAACCTGACTGGAAAACTGAAGCGCAGAAAGGGTGAATTATCCGGCGGATACGGTGCGGAGTCCTCGGATCCGCGCGCGGAGCTGCGATCGCGATGCGTCACAAGATCGCCAGTCTCCGGGGCCGGGGCCAGTGGATTCGTGAAACAGGCAGGGAAGAGCAGCTTAGAGCACGCATGGTCTGACTGCATGACATGTCTACACAGATCAGACTCAGTACGCGCGCGGTACACGGTGGTCAGAAGTATTTTTTTATGCGTGGTGGTTTACATGGTTTACTTGTTCGCCTCATTTGAAGGTGTCGTGGGAGCTTCAGGCTAAAACAGGCTACAGCCACCATTCTGGTAGTCGCACTACACGAGGAGGAGGCGAAGTCGATCGTGGAAATCGTGCCTATGGAGTGAAAAAATCAAAGAAGCGCAGTGTAGCTTGGAGGAGATGAAAAAAATTTCGACGTTTTTGCAGGTTGACGCACTTGCAGATGCGCCCTGAGACACCAGCAGCGATGAAAACTAGAAGGTCAGGCCAAGAAACGACACAGTAGTTATCTGTCTACCGTCTCTTGGTTGATTTTTTAGTACAGGTGCTCCTTTGTACATATGCTTGAGTTTTGAAGTGAAGCGCACATTTTAATAAGTCGGACCAAGTACATAATACCCTCACGCACTTCATAGACTTACGATATGAGGCAAAACAGAATGGCGTCGTATACATTGAAGTGGAGCCTCTGAGCAGTAAAGTTCCAGGCTGTAGCAAACTTCAATGCTAGGTTGTAGGGTTTGCCGTAGGGTTTGCCAACAACAGGCCATGTGTACTGGTGGACTAGCCTATATACAGTCAAACCTCGTTAGGACAAACACTGATAAGGCGAACTTTCCATTAGTACGAACTAGGGCCAATCCTATGGTTGGCCAGGCATCATATCAAGTCAAAATTATTCGTTTACGACGAGCTCCTGTATGGCAAACTTTCGCGAAGACGAACTATTTTCAAGTGTGATTTGAATAAAATCAGCACGTAGTACGAACTTTGGGTGCGTGCGCGTGTGCTGGCTGTCTTTTTTTCTTTCTTTTTTCGATAGCCGGGTCCATACATTGATTGTACGTACATAGATCTACGTAGTGAATCGTAGGAGACACACTGACGTGCGTGCTATCTAGGCCAAGCTTCAGCGTACACTGTTCGCGTCGTTGATCGAGTTGTGAAGTGTTTTGTGAAGCAAAGAGCGTTGATCCGTAGAGGGTAGTGGCGTTCCAGCGGATGCGGAAAACTCGGCCTCCACTGGCTCCGACCGAGTCTCACACGAACCGTGAACTTTTTTGTAAAGTATGGATGTTGAGATGCTGTGCTTCACATGCACACACGTAATCACTCATATTCAATCTATGGTTTATCGTAATGTATTTGTTTGTATATGGAAGCACAGTCTCGAATTGTAGCACATTGCCTGTTTCTGGCTTATGCTGAGAATAAATGCTTCCCATTTCCCACAGTATGCACCTTCACGTAAATACAATCCATATGATACGCATATCGATTTTTTGTCAGATCTGGATAAGAAGAACTCCCGATAAGACAAACAAATTTGTTCAGCCCCTTGAAGTTCGTCCTAACGAGGTTTGACTGTAATTGTAATGATGTCTTTGTCATTATGTTGTGATGTCATGTTGTGATGTCATGTTGTGATGTCATGGTGTTAACACAACGATTTCATGTGTTCAGGTGCTGGTGGAAGTGACAGCTAGTGCCCAGGCAGCTGAGAAGGTCAAGGCCGAGGTTCAGAAAGTCAAGGATAAGGCTCAGGCTATTGTCGACGCTATCGCGGTAAGGGCAGGGAATACTAGCACTGGATAACGCTGTACAGACTCACCCAGGCTGAACAAAGTCATAATGCAAGCATTAATGTTGTCAATGGTGGTGATAGTGTCATGTGCAATCAGCAATTTCCTACAGTGTACGGTGCTGTACTGCCCAGAGTGTTCTACTGGTGAGGGGTAGAAGGCATGATCTAGTGCACAGTGACATTAAATGACATAATGTAACAAAATGTCACATTATGTTACATTATGTCACATAATGTAACAAAATGTCACATTATGTTACATTATGTGACATAAAATTGGTTGTGGCGACAAACGCGATTAGGCCGGCTGCAGGGACGCCGTAATGTCGCACTCGCCCCAGCACCATTCAAACAATTCCTTTTGGCAGTTCACGGCACGAACTTCAACAAAGCCCCGTGAATGCGTACCAGGGGAAGGCTAGACAGCATGTCTCTAGACATCAATAGGCATCGTATGAAAAGCCAGTCAATAGCACTAAAGAGCGAAAGCCTTTGTCACGGTTCGGTTTCACTCGCGCACCGGGCCCGAGCTGCCAGCACAAACAAACGCCGGGCGCGAGCTGGCAGCACAAACAAACACCGTACTCACACGAGACCGTTGGGCCAACGGATGGCCACAGCCATCAAAAACAGGAACAAACCCATCCACGGCTCTTTCTCTTGCTAGCTGTGCTGCTGCGTGCATCCAACTGTTTTGCAATTTCTCCCTCCCACCCACGCCTCCTGGTATTTATTATCGCTCTACACTATCCTACGTCTCACAATGAGTGCCACTCAGCATGATGGTACTCCAAGCTACATTGTATTTGATCTGTCCTAGCTCACTATTCTGGACAAAATATTAATTCAATTGCAATGAAGCGTCGGGGGCCGGCGGGGGCATTCGGCGGCTTGGTCTGATTCCTAGCTTGTTGGTAACCGGCTTGAGGTTTCCAAGGTTGCTATGACAACGTGCAGTCATGCGCAGGGCCACCCAACATGCATTTGGGGGCCCAGGAAAGACAGAAACGCGTTGCTAGGCAACAGCAAAAGCGCTCGGCGAGTATCACGCTACTCATGCAGCGCGCACGTTGGCTTAGGGTATCACGCTACCCTTGCACTGCGGGGTACCACATTGCCCCTCGCTGGAATCAGACCCGCGCCCCGGATACCTTGCGCTGGCCTCCTGATGGCCAAACTCAACCAACTTGTGCGCTGTGACTGGGGTTGTGCATGTATTAGCAACATAATGTGGCCCAGGTCGGCAGACTTTCAATTAGCCAAGCAAGCTACTCAGGCCAGGTTGCATGATCACTATTCGCAGCACTTATCGTCCATGCAGCAGTCGGGTTAATGTAACATAATGTGACATAATGTGACCGGCTATGCACATGCAGGCCATTGTCGATTCGAAGTTTCGGCAAACTTCTCACGTGCTCTAGAATTCAGTTCTGGCAAGTCACGAGTCAAGTCCTGTCCGCGAGAAAACTGAAAACAAGAGACTGAGTGTCACGAGTTGAACACACTGGAAAGTCACCAGCTTACCTTAGCACACACAGCTATCTGAGCATAACATGTACTATGTGTGTTGGGTGAAGTAGAGAGGGTGGGTTCTTTCTGCCAACATTATTTGACGGTTGTAGGCATCTGAATCATTTTCTGGTGACAGTCTTTCTTTCTGTGTTGGTGCTTACTTATGTGTGTGTGTGTGTGTGTGTGTGTGTGTATGTGTGTGTGTGTGTGTGTGTGTCATGTGGGTGTATGTGTGTATGTGTTTGTGTTCATGTGTCTGTGGATGTGCACACCTAATTGTGTGAGGTAGACTGATAAGGCAGTAGCTGAGGGAAAACTAGAGGCAGCGAGACCGGCATTAGAGGAAGCAGAAGCAGCCCTGCAGGTATGTTTAGCGATGCAAATATCCAATCTTCCTCTGCAGTGCCTGTGTGCCTTGCACTGCATGAAAGGATTAAAGCATCATTGTGTTTGTATTAGATATCATATTTTCATGGGTGTGTATCCAGATGGCAATTGTGACTGTATGTATGCGAGTGTCATAGTCGCTTCTACTTCACTCTTCCAAGTTGTGGTATGCTGCATGATTTTTGTTTAGGCGAGTTATAGCAGGTTGCTGCCCTCAGTTGGGCTAATAACATCTGTGGTTTGATAATTACCTAGTATTTCCGACTAGTTGGATCTCTTCCTGTCCCTTTCTTTCTGTACCTCCCCTTCCTCCCCTCTCTCTTTGTCTGTCTGTCTGTCTGTCTGTCTGTCTGTCTGTCTGTCTGTCTGTCTGTCTGTCTGTCTGTCTGTCTGTCTGTCTGTCTGTCTGTCTGTCTGTCTATCTCTGTCTGTCTCTCTCTATCTCTCTCTCTCTCTCTCTCTCTCTCTCTCTCTCTCTCTCCCCCCGCCCCTCTCTCTCTCTCTCTCTCTCTCTCCCTTCTCTCACCGTCTTTGGTGTTTGTGTATTCGTGACTGTGTGGTGTCAGACAATCAAACCAGCTCACATTTCCACTGTACGTAAGCTGGCCAATCCGCCGCATCTCATCATGCGCATCATGGATTGCGTACTCATTCTGTTCCAACGCAAACTCAGCACGTGGACAATGGACAAGGAGAAGCCTACCAACTCGCCGTCCTGGTCCGAGTCATTGAAGGTTGGAGAATGTGTCTAGGTCATCCATTTTTCTTTCATTTTTGTACTGAAGTGCACAGTCCAGTAAAGGACAGAATGGGTAGACAGAACCATGGTGAAGACATGACAATACAGCTGGAAGCCGTAGCAGCGTGCTGATAAATTGGGCCTACGTCCCCCGACCGTGGGTCCTGGCTTACTACCTGTGCATTGTGAATATCTCCTTTATCCCACGTTCTTACTCGTGTGATTTACCTTCATTCTCTGGCTAATCTTGCTGGACATTATGCCTCTCGACAATGACATGTTGTAACGATTGCACTGCAACGCTCCGTTTTGTGTTTCCATCTAGCGGAATTTGGAAGCAAATCACACCTCCTTTGGAAGTCTCAAGTCGTAATGTTATGACCTGTCTCACATGGCTCCACTTGTCATAGTTACTCATGGCCAGATTCTGTATGATTACTAGTACTATTCATGCCACTGCAATGCTACAGCACATGCAGCCTGACTCCTCTTATCATGACAACATGTACCCACCATGGGAAAACCCCTTGCATCTTCCGCATCATCGCTCTTTATATGTTCCACTGGATGCTTACACTGTCTCGCCTGATTATGCATTGATTATGCATTGATTATGCATTGGTTATGCATTGATATGCATTGATTATGCATTGGTTATGCATTGATATGCATTGATTATGCATTGCTATGCATTGCTATGATTTATGAATTGTTTATGCATTGGTTATGCATTGATTTTTCATTGCTTCGATTCTGCAATCTGCTTCAGTTGATGAGCGCTGGAGGTTTCCTGAACACGCTGCAAACCTTCCCCAAGGACACAATCAACGCCGAGACAGTTGAGCTGCTAAGGCCCTACTTTGCAATGGATGACTATAACCTAGCCAGTGCCAAGAAGGTGTGCGGTGACGTGGCTGGATTGTGCTCGTGGACTTTGGCCATGGCTGCCTTCTTTGAGATTAACAGAGAAGTCCTGCCGTTGAAGGTAAGCGAACGTCGGAGAGAGCAGAGGGGAGGAGAGGGAGAGAGACAGATGGAGAGAGAGGAGAGACAGAGAGAGACAGAGAGACAGAGAGAGAGACAGAGAGAGACATAGAGAGAGAGACATAGAGAGAGACAGAGAGAGAGAGAGACAGAGAGAGAGAGAGAGAGAGAGAGAGAGAGAGAGAGAGAGAGAGAGAGAGAGAGAGAGAGAGAGAGAGAGAGAGAGAGAGAGAGAGAGAGAGAGAGAGAGAGAGAGAGAGAGAGAGAGAGAGAGAGAGAGAGAGAGGGAGAGGGAGAGGGAGAGGGAGAGGGAGAGGGAGAGGGAGAGGGAGAGGGAGAGGGAGAGGGAGAGGGAGAGGGAGAGGGAGAGGGAGAGGGAGAGGGAGAGGGAGAGGGAGAGGGAGAGGGAGAGGGAGAGGGAGAGGGAGAGGGAGAGGGAGAGGGAGAGGGAGAGGGAGAGGGAGAGGGAGAGGGAGAGGGAGAGAGAGAGGGAGAGGGAGAGAGACAGAGAGAGACAGAGAGAGAGACAGAGAGAGAGAGACAGAGAGAGAGACAGAGAGAGAGAGAGAGAGACAGAGAGAGAGACAGAGAGAGAGAGACAGAGAGAGAGACAGAGAGAGAGAGACAGAGAGAGAGACAGAGAGAGAGAGACAGAGAGAGAGACAGAGAGAGAGACAGAGAGAGAGAGACAGAGAGAGAGACAGAGAGAGAGACAGAGAGAGAGACAGAGAGAGAGACAGAGAGAGAGACAGATAGAGAGACAGAGAGAGAGAGACAGAGAGAGAGAGACAGAGAGAGAGAGACAGAGAGAGAGACAGAGAGAGAGAGACAGAGAGAGAGACAGAGAGAGACAGAGAGAGAGACAGAGAGAGACAGAGAGAGACAGAGAGAGAGAGAGAGACAGAGAGACAGAGAGACAGAGAGACAGAGAGAGAGAGAGATGTTCTGGCTTGTTTCCCTGCCATAGCAATCGTAATCCAAGTGTGGGGTTGACGCAGCTTTCAAAATCTTGGTGTGTTTGTGTGTGTGTGTGGGGGGGGGGGGGTAGGAGGGTGAGAAAGAGCAGGCCTGCTCCAACTCAGTTCCCATGTAGAGCTGCAGGATGCCTCACCACTCTAGCTGTGTGACTATTATGTATTAGCAAAGTTTGCATGAGTATTTGTTGTACCCTTGGCATTGTGCAAACAGTGCCATATGCAGGTGTATAATCTGGGAACTCTCGCTATTGTGGTGTTTACAATGTATGTGTCTGGTGCGCTTAAGGAGACGGGAAACAAAGTATTGTTGCCGCTATCCTGAGTGTCGTATGTTACTGGTCATCAGACAGCATAGATAGTCAATTATTGCTAACTCCTCTCAGAGTAACTGCAACGATGCTTTATTCCCCTTCGCATCACGTGTACAATGCTCTGTATGTAGCTGCATCAAGCACTTTCATGAGCTGCTGCCACAACTCTCCCTGAGTGTACCCATGTGTCTGTGTATCCACTCTGGTGCGTGTATACGTATGTGAGTTTAGGCCAATCTTGTGAAAGCCGAAGCTAAGCTAGCCGTTGCCCAGGGTGAGCTCAACGCCGCACAAGCACAGCTGGACGAGAAGGAAGCTGAACTAGCTGCAGTACAAGCCATGTACGACAAGGCCATGACCGAGAAACAGGTAACTAATTTGTGGAGTACCCGGAATAAGCTGATTGTGCAATGCTGTAGTTTGCACCGGCAACACCCCACACGGACACCAGGGCATGGTTGTGTGGGGTACATGTATTGGACAGTGCAGGCTGGATCGCAGTGTACTCGCATGCATTACTCGTACCTTCCATGTTTGGCAATGCATTACTTTTGGCTGCGTCGCAAAAAAATGAAATGCACTTGTCACCTTGTTATCATGGTGAAATGGATATTTGGGTTTGAATTTTTGAATTTTTTCCTAGTATTATGGCCAAGATGGTCTAAATATTGTAGTGTAATTACGCTAAGTCAGAGCTCACAGTCACTCTGGTTGCAATGTCTTAGTCTTTGAATGCGGCGAATGTCCCATGATTAACATCACCACGAGACAGGGAGTGATGACACTTTGTGATTGGCACGGCATGTCCCATTGTAGCATGTAATGAGTACTTTCCCTATACTACCTTGTACGTAATTGACTATTCGATGTCGCTGTGTGTGTTTGCACGCCATCCTATACCCCGTAGACACTTATTGATGACGCAGATACGTGCCGTAGAAAGATGGCCGCCGCCAGTGCCTTGATTGGTGGACTGTCCGGTGAGAAGGACAGATGGACTATCCAGAGCAAAGAATTCCAGGATCAGATTGGAAGGTAAGCCATGGCCCTCAGCAGACACTTATTTTATTTTTTGCTGCACCTCGTTGCATGTTAAGACAGGTATTTGAATTGAGGAGAGGGTGAGACCAACCACGGAAAAAAGAGGGAAAGAGAGGTAATTATGTCTTTTCCGTGATCACAGGAATTTTTTAAATATACAGTCATGTGTCTGTGTGTGCCACTGCGGGATGGTTGATATGGCACTGCGAGATGGTTGCTATGCCACTGCGGGATGGTTGCTATGCCACTGCGGGTTGGTTGCTATGCCACTGCGGGATGGTTGCTATGCCACTGCGGGATGGTTGCTGTGCCACTGCGGGATGGTTGCTAACAGAACTCATGTACATCTGTCTCATGGCCATACATCTATCATGTTGGTTCCAACTTCACTCAACCTCTTCATCTATGGGGCACATGATGTCAGCCATGTTGGTTCCACTGTCCGCATGACATGATCCCTTTCTACGCAAACTAAGTCACATAATGGTTCATGAATCTACTCAGTCCACATTCCCGCTCCGTTTTTCTTTCCTTCCAGTTGCGTCTTCCTTTCTTCTCTAACGTTATTTTACCTTTCTCGTTCCGTTCGTCCCTCTTGATATTTGTACGGTTGAGGCAAAGAACTGAAATAATAAAAACCAAACCAAACCCAACATGACAAGTATTTGTAACCACTCTTTTGGAAATCTGTTTGTGTGTGTATACGCTGCTCTACTCTCCAGGCTGGTAGGAGATGTACTGCTGTGCACTGGATTCCTGTCTTACTCGGGGCCGTTCAATCAAGAGTTCCGCGATCTGTTGCTGGACGACTGGAAGAAGGAACTAAAGACGCGCGGTATTCCGTTCACTGGTAGTCTCGACGTCACTGGCATGTTGGTGGACTCTGCTACGGTAAGTGTGTGCCAGGATGTTATTAGAGGTTTGGCTCAGGTAACTGGAAGGCCAATGAAATTATGTCGCCAGTACAGACTCGAATCACGTCATGATAAAATCCCTCTGCCCTCTTCCCTTCTCTTATCTTCCCTCAACTCCCCCCCCCCCCCATCCACAGATACATACATACGTACTGTTTTACAGTTAGTAATTTGATATTTTGGACATTTGTTTCATGGCGGGTTTCAACAAGTGTTGTCATGGGATCCTGGCACGGCGCAGGCTCTGAAACATTCAGATGTAAACACTAAATATATGAATTCGCCTTCAGCATGGGTAAATTGCCTTTACTGTTTGCCAGTACGGCAGTAGCCACAATTTCAAACTTTGCTATTCGAATTTCTCTGTGCCTAATGGTGTTCATCCATTGGTGGAATGCTGCCACTGTCATTGCCATTTCCATCGCCATTATCATTGCTGTGTAGGTCGGTGAGTGGGGTCTGCAAGGACTGCCCAACGACGAGCTCTCGGTGCAGAACGGCATCATCGTCACCAAGGCAACGCGCTACCCGCTGCTCATGGATCCGCAGGGTCAGGGCAAGACCTGGGTCAAGAACAAGGAAGCTCAGAACGAAATGCAGGTGAGTACGGTGACGTTTGTACTGGTTGTCACATGATGGTGGTCAGGGGTACTAACGTTACCAGTTAGTGTGACTGGCTACATACAAGTACTGCTGTACAATGTTGCAGTGATGGATATTATGATGTTTCAGTATGACGTCATACCAAGAGTCCATTATTCCCGCAGAGTGTGCAACTTCACTTATCAGATGTGGGACGGCGAAATCCGTGTTGCACGTCATTGTGTGACATCATGAGTAGGGGAAGTGTGGACCGTGGTGACCGCGTTGACGGAATGAGGCAAGTCCGACCACAAAAATGACGTACATCACGGATTACGCCGTCCCACAACCCCATCCCAGCTGTGCACTCTGGGGGATTAAGGACTCTTGGTCATACTCTTAGCTAGAAAATCCTGTGTACATACCCTCCTACCACTCTGCAGACAATCTTCACAGACCTTGGTCAAATGTGCTGTTTTGTGCAAGTGAACGAATCCAGAATTCACGACTCGTAGTAAGGACAGATTTTCACCAAACGCAGTGCTGACTCATTCCTTGACCGGTCATGATACTCGTGTTCTCACACGTCAATGAGCAGCCAATCATCCATATTACATTATAAAATTCTGTAGAATATTGTTGTGATGTCAGTACTCAGATGGAAAGCCAAGGAGAATATTAAATGGAAACAATATGCCAACATGTGACCCACAGTTTTCCTTGTTTCCATTTAGTATTGTTGTCCATGGTATATCCACTCAAACACATTGAAATCCCAAGACTGCTTCGGTTGCTCATTCTTTATCTCCTTCTGGGTCACAGTTAACATCGCTCAACAACAAGTATTTCAGAACACATCTCGAGGACTGTCTTTCCCTTGGCAAACCAATCCTCATCGAAGACATTGGTGAAGAGCTCGACCCGGCACTCGACAACGTGCTGGAGAAGAACTTCATCAAGAGTGGCAGTACGCTGAAGGTGAAAGTTGGTGACAAGGAGGTGGATGTCATGAAGGGATTCATGCTTTACATCACAACCAAACTTCCCAATCCGTCGTATACACCCGAGATTTCGGCCAGAACATCCATCATCGACTTCACTGTCACAATGAAGGGTAAGTCTCAACAAATCAAGAAGACATAGTCAATGTGAGGATGAAGTCATTGTGATGTCATCGCTGAGCTAATGCAGGGGCGGATACAGGTTCAGGGGGTTCGGACGAACCCCCTAAAATAATTTCGACCATGGGTCCAGTCGATTTTTTGTGATCTCCACGTGCGCAGCCAGCGAAGTGTATGTAGCGTACATGCAGCGTAGCCAGTAGACTTCACTGGCAATCCTGCGTGCATGCAGTAGTCACGTACAGGCAGTGCAGGTACTACAGGTCACTGCATGCATGCAGTGGTACATGGTCGGGACTGTTGTACGCGTACCGTTCGAATCGAAGGGTCTGTACGCGTATCATGTGACTTGAAACGATCGACAGTTCAAGTGGTGGAGCAAAAGGAGGAAAAACTGCCACTTTGCCTCCTTCCTTGTCGTTTTGTTTTATTTCGCGCTGGCTGGACTGTATGTTTCCTCCGTCGCAGTGCAAAGATAATGTTTGTGTTTGTCGTGTAGTTTGCCATGTCGCGGTGGAGCAAAAGGTGGAGAAACTGCCACTTGTCCTCATTACCTTCCTTGTCGTTTTGTTTTATTTCGCGCCGGCTGGACTGTAGGTTTCCTCCGTCGCAGTACGAAGATAATGTTTGTGTTTGTCGTGTAGTTTGCCATGTCGCGACGTCTGCCAAAGAGGCGAGCGGCCGATCAGCTGCCATTGAGCTTGGCTTCGTTCCGCCATGTACGCCATGAATGTGACGACACGGAGTCCCAGCCGGAGGACAGTCAGAGAACTTCGCCTTCCGTCAGTTCGGAAAATGCTGCAGTCACGGCCTTAGTTTCTGCCTGTGCTGCAGCTTTGTACTTTGTAAAGCTCTAAACGCATTACCCTTGTCTTATTGGCCAAGCAATGCAAGGGATACCGTGACAATAAAGATTTTGCAACTCCCGGTGTAGTGAACGAACCGAAAACAGTTTGAAGCGAATTTAATTCTGTGCACTCGAAAAAATTTGAACCCCCCCTGAAAAATTCCTGGATCCGCCCCTGTAATGGAATGCACAATGATGTCATTATGGACAGCCAGTCCTGTGTGTGGTTGCGGACCACACATTCAATGTCTCTCGAGCGGTGGTCATCATAGGCAGTAGGGGTCAAACGGCTGTACCTTTAACTAACGAACGGGTAATTTTCTTAACGGGCGGGTTAACGGGTACCCTTTAGCAGCCATGTTTTAATTTTTGCGCAATTTCCATATAAACCCTGATAGTAATTTATCTGTTCTCAGGTTGCATTTTGATATCACATTGTGATTCGCCAGTTGGTTTGAGTCTGATAGTCGCAGAGGTGGATCTACTAGGTGCGAAAATGCAATAACAATGCAGGCATGTAGCTTGGAGTTGTAAATAATTGACTCCCGCCTGCAATGCACGATCCCAGCAGCGTGGTTTCGTACTGACTTGATCACCGAAATCGAAACGGGTACCCTTTTACTCACGGTACCTGAGATTAACGGGCGGGTACCCGGGTACCCGGAACACCCCTTTGACCCCTACCACACTACACACACTACACACACCAAGCACACTATGCACAATCTCAGAAGTAAGGGTGACGCTTCGTGCAGTTTCATTTAGAAAAAGGCATTCGAGCCGACAAGCTTGTTCCCTTAGCTCTGCAAAACACTGAACATCGTTTTCACATTATTATAATATTTTAGCAACTTTTCTCCATTTCGCCATCATCAGGTCAGGCACATTCTGCTGCCGAAATACTCCAAACAACACGTGCAGTGTGTCCACATTTGTGTCACCGACATGCTATCTATAGTTTCTGAACCAGTGTTGTTCTGTCCGTTCCATTACCGGGTGTGTCTGCAGGTCTTGGTGATCAGCTGCTTGGCTTGGTGATTCTGAAAGAGAAGAGGGAGCTGGAGGCCGAGCGTGTGGCCCTGCTAGAAGACGTCACCTCCAACAAGAGGAAGATGCAGGAACTCGAGGACAACCTGCTGTACCGGCTGACGTCGACCAAGGGCTCCCTGGTGGACGATGAGACGCTGATCGATGTACTGCGCACGACCAAGTCGACTTCTGAAGACGTCAAGCAGAAACTACAGGTCAGCCATGCAACCTGCTGACTGTTAACCTACGTGTGTAGTGACCACGGACTGCCTTAGTCAGAATGAAGTGAAACAAGGTGATGGCTGGGGTAGGGGGGGGGGGGCACTCCCATCCATAGAACAGGAGCATTCATGTTGTACCAAGCACTTCGGATGTGCAGTGAAACCGGTCTAAGACGACCGCTCAAGGGACCTGCAAAATGTGGTCTCTGTTGCCGGGTGGTCTCCTTACCCAGGGTCGTTTGACTGCAAATAGCATTACTGGGTCCTGGTCACAGTGGTCTCCTCTGAGGCAGGTGGTCACCTTGACAGGTTTTCCTGTACATCACACCAAAGACATGTGATCCTGTGAGTGTGTATGTGACTTACACCTGCTTTGTTTGAGTAGTTTGACCCATGGGGAAAGTACAAATGAGTTGTCATATACATCTAAGTGAAAAGCTGGGAGCCGTGACATGAACCTTTGTAAAACTGGGCACTGCTGGTTTTGCTTGCACATGGCAAGCCGGATTTTAGGGAAAGCTATAGCAAACGTAACGATAGCTGTAAGCTCTAGAACACCCACTCACATGATCAGCTCACGGGCACGCTTCATTAGTGAGGTGTGTGCATGGCTAGATGTAACTCTTGTATGTGCCTTTGTATCTCTTATCCGGTGCTGTGCACATGTTGCTTGTGTAGATTGCTGCCGACAATTGTTTTGATGTGATGCATTTACACAGACACTACAGATGTAACTAGATGTAACTCTTGAATGTGATGCTGTATCTCCTTCCCGGTGCCATGCACATGCTCCTTGTGTAGGTTGCTGCTGACACAGAGATCAAGATCACATCTGCACGTGAGGAGTTCCGACCGGTGGCCACCCGTGGCAGCATTCTCTACTTCTTGATCACAAACATGAGCATGGTCAACTGCATGTACCAGACGTCTCTGCCGCAGTTCCTGGGGCTGTTCGACAACTCCATGGAGCGCAGCACCAAGTCTCCCGTCACCGCGAAGAGAATCGCCGCCATTGTGGAGTACTTGACGTTTGAGGTATTCCGCTACACGTCGCGTGGTCTCTACGAGGAGGACAAATTCCTGTTCACGCTGCTCTTGGCACTGAAAATAGACCTGAACAATAACAAGGTTAGTCCTAGTGACTGAACTGACTGAGCGTACAATACGTGTCCTACATATTGTACTGTTTTGTGCAATGTTATCGCATGAGCTGATTGTCAAGTAACTGGTGGTGTTAGTGGACATTATTGCGTAATTTGTAGTTACTTGGTCTTTTTTCTTCTCTATAGATTGTCCTACATATTGTAATGTTTTCTCTATTTTCTCAGTAGGAACCGTTTCTTTCCTAATCACTCACAGACTCCATTGCAGCCATTTACACATTAGGTTTCCTCAATCAAAACATTCAAATATGGTCTATTTGCAGCATACATCACCTCAAATGTTCACCATATTTCCAGGACTGTTTCTAGCCTTGAAGGTGTTGGTTGTGCCGATGTTGTGTACGTAGGTAAAACATCGTGAGTTCAGTACGCTGATCAAGGGAGGTGCTGCTTTGGATCTGAATGCTGTGGAACCTAAGCCAGCCAAGTGGATCCTGGACTTGACCTGGCTCAACTTGGTCGAGCTCAGCAAGCTACCTCAGTTCTCCGAGATCCTCAGCCAGGTGAGAACGCCGCTGTCACTACACATCATGTCATTATGCATGTGTATCACACGCCTGCTGCCTACATTACCGTGTATGTGCCGCGTATCCAGGGCATGTCCCTGACCTGGTGCATAGGAACTACCATGACATAACCGCATGTTACGATGTTGTCATCTTATCGGGACTTTTCTGCCATGACGTCATCATGACTTAATCACTCTAACAATGACAGTGATCTCCTTCGGAAATCTAGACACAGACAAAACATTGTAATTAGACGGAGGGTAAACACGGGCCACCATACTTCGCACACATACCACTACGTGTACACATACCACTACACATACCAGTACACATGCAAGTACATGGCCACAAATGGTATTATTCTGTGTTGTTGTTTGTGTAGATTGCTCGCAATGACAAGGCCTGGAAGGCTTGGTTTGACGTTGAGGCACCGGAGGAGACTCCGTGTCCAGATGGCTATGAGCACTCGCTGGACACATTCCGTCGCCTGCTGCTGGTCAGGAGCTGGTGTCCGGATCGTACAGCCGTGCAAGCACGCAAATACATCACCGAGTCACTGGGTCTGCGCTTTGCGGAGGGTGTCATCCTGGACCTGAGGGTATGTACTGCATTAGCAATGACCTCACTACTGCAGATGCACAAACAGAAGCTCCTAAGTAGATCTTCTCCCCCCCCCCCCCCCCTCCAGCTGTAACCTGCGCTGATTTTAATACTGGTATGCCTCCAAAACATGGCCAGCTTGGTCAGGTCAAATTGCAATGAAGCAATAATGTATTCTTGCTTGGGTACGCTCCTTCATGCATATAACTGTTTTTGTGTGTACGTGTGTCCACGTGTGTGTATAATTATGTGTGTCCGTGTGTGTCCATGTGTGTCGACGTGTCTGTGTGTCCATGTGTGTCCACGTTTCTGTGTGTGTATGTGTCCATGTGTGTCCACGTATATCCGTATGTCCATTGTGTGCGTGTGGTGCAGGATCTTCACGCGGAGAGTACTCCCCGTACACCCATGATCGGACTGCTGTCGATGGGATCGGATCCCACGGCCGACATTGAGAACCTGGCAAAGCGCGAGAATCTGGAATGCCGAGCCATCAGTATGGGTCAAGGGCAGGACGTGCACGCACGACGTCTTCTACAACAATTTATGGGCGGTGGAGGATGGGCGCTGCTGCAGAACTGCCATTTAGGTCTTGACTTCATGGATGAGCTCTTCTTGCTCATGGTGGATGCGGAGAACATTCACGAGGACTTCCGCTTGTGGATGACAACAGAGGTGCACCCGAAGTTCCCAATTTCCTTGTTGCAGATCGGCTTGAAATTCACTAATGAGCCGCCGCAGGGAATCAAGGCCGGTCTCAAACGAACCTACACTGGTAAGATGACGCATGCTGGAGCTGTGTGTGTGTGTGTGTGTGTATGTGTGCGTTATGTCTCTGTTTGTGCATGTGTCACTAAGGTCAGTGGCTGGCTTACTGTTATCACTGGTTGCACATGTATAGCGCATGGAGATGTGCTGGTCGCTATACTACAGTATGACTAGCTTAGTCCTGGCATCTGGTGCAAGTAGTTTTTGTAAGTCAAAGACCTTGCACTCGCATGTAACTAGGTATCTGTATGTGAACTACTATCCATAGGTGTATGTGTGTACGTGTGTACGTGTGTGCACGTGTGTGCGTGTGTGCACATGTGTGCGTGTGTGTGATGATGTAGGTATCAGCCAGGACCAGTTGGACATCAGCAACCTGCCTCAGTGGAAACCAATGCTCTTCGGCTTGGCATTCCTACACACAACTGTCCAGGTATATATGGCCCGATATCTGAGACTTTCGACCTTCGGGGCTACGCGGTTTTTTTGAGAAAACACTAAAAACAAATTTGTTTGCAAAAAATCGATTCCGTCAAAGCAAAGTGCAGAGACGACAATGGCGGAATAAAATTGAAGGCGATTCTTGTGTCAGTTGGTTATTGGGCTCACGGAGCACAGCAGCCGCGATCCCATGGACGGTGATGCATCGTTCTTTGTGGATATCCTGTCAAGCGGCGACAGCGCTTCTAGTTCTGAGAGCGCATGTCAGGCGAATCGATCGCAAGTGACACGCGGGTACCTCTCGGGGGCGACGATGATGAGGACTTGGCCTGGATGAGTATGATCAAGGCCAACCACAGTCTGCCTCAGCGATAGCTGCTACAGCTCCAGGCAAGGACAACCAGGTGGATTCCTGAGGGTACGCCGCTTGCAAGGTCGCTGGGCGCCCTTGCGCGAGTGGCAGAGCTGTTTCCTGAGTGTCACGCCAGACCTGCTAAAACAGCACGAAATGATGCGAGTTTTCTTTGCGACGATGATCCTAAAATGTTTGGGATGGCAAGCTCGATACTCGAGCTAATAATGGCGAATCAGACCATCACGGAGCACATGAGGCTGGGCAATCTCGAGTAACATTCTGTTACTTTTGAGTTGGTGGTGTGAAACGCTTGTCAGGCTGGTTTACTGATGTTTGGAAATGGTCTGTCTCCACAAAGTGCAACAAGGCGAATCTGGACGCATTTGCTCTGTTTGACTCCTTCACAATAAGTATGTGAATGCTGTCACATGTATCATGGTGTTCCGTCAAAATCTGTTGCAGACTATCCTGTCAAGCATGTCCATCACAAGGAGAACAGATAAATCACCTCTCCTTCTAATGCTGCTATTGCTGCTGTTGCAACTACACAACCTCAATAAAGTCACGGAATGCTGGAAATGAAGTACCTGAACAGTCAAAACACTTTACTATATTAGTTGGCTAGTGATATCACATGGAAACAATTTTCGGTGGTTCCAAACACACTGATCTTTCAAAATTGTAAAAAAAGAACAATTCATTAACATGACTCCTGACTGTAAAATGCATTTCTACATGGTCAATATTGGTCTGGTGGCCGTGAAACGAAGTCACAATACTCTACAAAGGCAAGACATCAATTTGCAATAAAAAAATCAATTTCACCAAAACAGCCCCGAAGGTCGATTTTCTCAGATATCAGTCCATATTGTGTGCTGTACTCTGCATGCTGTGCTTTGCTGGACTCTGCATGCTGTGCTTTGCTGGACTCTGCTGTGCTGTGCTTTGCTGGACTCTGCTGTGCTGTGCTTTGCTGTACTCTGCTGTGCTGTGTGCTGTGCTGTGAGCTGTGATTTGGCGATTTTTACACACACACACACACACACACACACACACACACACACACACACACACACACACACACACACACACACACACACCAACACACACACACACACACACACACACACACACACACACACACACACACACACACACACACACACACACACACACACACACACACACACACACACACACACACACACACACACACACACACACACACACACACACACACACACACACACACACACACACACACACACACACACACACACACACACACACACACACACACACACACACACACACACACACACACACACACACACACACACACACACACACACACACACACACACACACACACACACACACACACACACACACACACACACACACACACACACACACACACACACACACACACACACACACACACACACACACACACACACACACACACACACACACACACACACACACACACACACACACACACACACACACACACACACACACACACACACACACACACACACACACACACACACACACACACACACACACACACACACACACACACACACACACACACACACACACACACACACACACACACACACACACACACACACACACACACACACACACACACACACACACACACACACACACACACACACACACACACACACACACACACACACACACACACACACACACACACACACACACACACACACACACACACACACACACACACACACACACACACACACACACACACACACACACACACACACACACACACACACACACACACACACACACACACACACACACACACACACACACACACACACACACACACACACACACACACACACACACACACACACACACACACACACACACACACACACACACACACACACACACACACACACACATATACAAGCCCATCCTGGGTCACGATGGCTAGGTCAAACCTACGGCTGAGCTCTTGTTCTTCATCTTCCTGGTGATCCGCTGACACCCCCTAAGGGCAGAAAACTACGGCTGTTAGGCCCCCATGGGGATTTTGTGAGGAGCTCAAAATATGCGTCCTCTTCCAAAAACTGTCGGTTGTGTACTGTGCAGTGCTGTTCTGTGTGCTGTGCAGTGCTGTACTGTGTGGTGGGTGCTCCGCTCTGCTGGGTGCCGTGTGCTCTGTCCTGTGGTAGTCTGTGCTCTGCTCTGCAGTGGGTTATCCGTATCGCATGATGTGCAGCATCATGCTACTAGTTTCTGTAATGGTTTATCCGGAATCATTTTCCCTGTGGTCATCACTTGCAATCTATCTCACTGCTTTGTGCAGGAACGTCGCAAATTTGGTCCGCTGGGTTGGAACATCCCGTATGAGTTCAATCAGGCCGATTTCACCTCCACTATGCAGTTCTTCCAGAACCACCTCGATGATCTAGACTTGAAGAAGGTAAGATCCACGCTAAGCA